TGTTTATATATATGTATATGTAATTTTTTAATAAATCTAACTTTGTACATAACAAAAAGTAAATGTAGACATAATCTTTGAAACACGTGCGCATTCATTTAATTTGAAGCAAAAAATTCTAAAGTGCAATATTAATTAATTTATTAAGTCAATTTATTAAGATGAGATAGTTTTCAAAATTTATGTGGCATATTAAAAAGTTATAAGAGAAGAAAAACAATACGCAGTCAAACAAATTTTCTAGTGAAAACTTTACAAATTCAGATTTTAATACGATTGAATAGCCTCTTAAGATGTCAATGCGTGTAAGGTTCTATTAAAGATCAACCGTTTTTTCTTCTTAACTGTGCTGCAGGTATGAAATCTGTCGAAACTACACAATGACAGTATTCGTACACTAAAATGGGAATTGTTACGGTCACAAAATCCGCCGCCCTTCTATCTGAGGATTTAGTGGCGTATTGTAGAAATACCACGTCAAGCATCAGTTCTGGCAGGTGTCTGATTTACGCTTCTATAGCCAAGAACTGTATACTCTTAATAATTGAATTTGTATTCCGTTATTACAGGATGTTTTCTTAACATAAAATACGTTACATTTTGATGAGTAGGTGAGAGAAAAAATTAAAGCATAAGTTACAAAAGAAATTTCCATGAAGAGAAAATTTCCTTGGATTCCCCATTTATGACGAACAATAGAATCATGGGGGATACTACGTCGTAGATTATTTTCTTTTTCTGCAACGTACTTTGCCAACTGCCCCAATATTTCTCGTTTTCTATTCGATGTTAAAAGAAAACTACATCCTGGCGAACGATCTAGAGAATAATACATATTTTTATTGAATGATATTTTTACGACGACTGACGATATAATAAGTATTCTGCAGGTTATATCTTCAATAAAATATTTTGATGCAAGCGACGCAGTAAAAATATAATTTTCAAACGATGCTTCTTTGCGGTTGAGGCCATTTCTTTCATATCTGATTTGTTTGAAAGGACGGAGTTCATTTCAGGGATGCGTTCTCACTCGGGTGCTCCTCGAGTGTCATGTCATCCTTGTTTAACGTTCGGTAAACAACAAGGACGATATGACGGGGTATTGTATTTTTGTTAGAAATATTACGGAACCCTGCTGGTGTGACAGGATCCCAATATATTGTATCTCTTGTGCTGCTTTTGTACAATTTGGCGGTAACGCACTTGTAAAGAAGCCATTTGCTAAAGGTTGCAAAAAAGTTTGACCAGTTTTTTTTAATGAATGATTAGCAAATTGCTTTGATCTGTTTGATATTTTTGTAAACTGGATACACTCACATATTTTGTTAATTATTTTATTGTGTTCCTTCATAACGTGCAAAATTTAGATTGACTACTATATTATGAGTAAAATTAATAGCGATATTATGAAATATGACCAGATTAATAATAACTATATGAAATATATGATACATAATTAATAATAACTCTGTTACGAGATGTAAAATATTAAATTTATATCGCGATTGCGTATAGTGCAAAACATAAAATATAAAATTTACGATAAATACTCTCTCTCTCTCTCTCTACGAAAAATACCGAATTTTAAATAACTCTTATACATATTGTAAAATATAAAATATATATAATATTAACAACGGTTGCGTTATGAGACGTAAAAATATAAAATCTATGGCTGTATCTAATTACCGTAGATACATGATACGACGAAAACTAAAATTAACGATGATTGCAGTATGCAGTGGAAGCCTGTTGTCGATCGACAGGTTTCTCATCCACATTCTCATTGCCTGCAGATTAGAAGACGCGTGTTATTATCTTACGACTTCCCGTCAAGTTTCTCAAAGTTTGATGCTCGTAATGCACTCACCCTTACATACCTACAAGCGTCTGCAACCACCCGCTCTCGCGAAGAAAGGGTACCTAGGTAGGGAGAAGAGACGCGGGGAGAGGATAACAGGAATGAACGAGCAGGCACGATACATAATAGCATATTCTCTTTCTGGCTATAGGCGGATGAGTCGGACGAGTCGTGAGTCAGACTCAAGGGAGTAGTAAACTCATTCTCTCTTGGTCCCTTTATCCGCAATATCGGATGGACTCGAGGGAAAGAAGGAGAAATAAAAGAGGGAAAGGGAGGCAGAGTGGGAGGAGAAATTCTCAGTTAATATGCAGTATTAAGAATAAAGGAATTGCTTTCTGGACTAATAACAGATCTTTGTATTTCTAGCATAAAAGTTAGTCGAAATTTAACTGACCTTGATCAATAGTATCGTATAAATCGGATATGTTAAACATCGTCTATTTTTATATTTTCGCGCTTCATCTGAATTGCAAAATTATGAAAAGTTACACACACACACACACACACGTATACACACATTACGAAAAGTCTTTAATTTTTTATAAATTTACCTAAGACGTATAATTAATATAATCTTCCATTCCAATATTTTCCTTTTTCTATAATTATAAAATAAATAAAAATCCCTGATTATTGATAATTTTTAAATTATCTTGTTAAAATTCTTTAATGCTCACATGTGACTAAATATTCGAATAAATTGAATTTGCCAACATTTGACAGTTTCGTGTGATCGAACAATCAAGTTAACGAATTCGTTGAAAGTGATAACGAAGTTTGAAAAGTAGTTGAGCAATGTAGTAGTCGAAAACGGACGCGCGTAACCGCAGCTACGCGTGATTTCCGATCGACAATCGTGACATGAGATCGACCTCGTCTCACTTCGTCTCGGATCTTTCTACACTTCTTCATTTATCTCATGCGTTTGTTTGTCTTATTCGCATTCTTTAACGATTTCATATCAAATTCTCCTTCGATCCATTTGCGATTCATTTTCGATTTATATCGTCTGCCATTTTATGATGAATTCGCCACGTTTGCGTTACACTGAATTAGTACGCGTTAAATTCTGCTTTATATATAAAGTATCTAAGAGGTATAACATGTAATCAATTTAGACAATGAAATAACACATTTACCTTATATTCCGCTAAATACCATGACAAAATCAATATTATGTAATCGTGTTTAAAATATATTTATATGCTTTTACATTTAACTTCGCTAATTTCATGTATAGTAGCTTTTAATATGCACTGATTTTATATGCACTAATCTACATGCACTAATCTCTATAATGCAAGTGACCGAATTCGTTATTAGTCATTCATTCATCGCGATAAAATCACTGGGACTGTTCTTTTTTCTTTCGCTTCGGAAATACATCACGTATTGAAAAAATATACGATTACTTTGTTTAACTTTTCCATATTTTATTAGTGTCCATTTTGACGATGCCCTCACTGTTTCTTTCATCGCATATGTTTTCCTCGCTCTGAGTTTCTCCACTTCCAATAAATGAAGACCACGTAAATATGCTTATACGTGTTCGAACTTGTTCAAGGTCGTAGTTTAAATCCAAAGACGCACGAAAAACTTGAACTGGTCGACCAATCGCAGTCAAGCTCTCCTACGAAGGTATCTCAAGGAAAAGAGTGAGGAAAATGTTTGACTGCGGTTGGTGGATTTGTTTCTTTTATTCTTTCTTACCTTTCACAGCCTAATCGGTTTAAACGACTATAACGCGTGGTCAGAAAATAATGATCATAATGAAGTTGTTAAATCATTAAAAAATTATTTTCTAAATATACGAAATCGAATTCGTTTTTCTGTCGAAAAATTCTTTCATTGTACAGATATTGTTATTTTAAAATTTAAGAATTTATAAAAATATTTCTCAAATATATCTGCACGGAGAAAAATAATTTAGAGATGGATACCTTACGAGATTAGTAAAAATATTCTGGTTATTTTTACCGAATTTATGATAAATTTTATTTGCTTAAAAGTAAAAATACCGGAGATATAAGATAAAAAGTACATTATGATTATATAGTACATCATTTCAAGTGATTATTATCTTATAGTAAGATAAATTATACTTTCAGTAAAGTAAATTGTACTATTTTCAAGATTGACGAGCACAAACAACTCTCAGAATTTTTATATTTTACTATGCAGTAAAGTAAATTTTGTCAATGCTAAAGAAAAAATTGTTGTCAATAAAGTAAGAATGATTATCATACGACAATCTCATTTACCAGAAATGTAAAGAAAATTTTACACAAGTAGGCACGTATCTCTATATGAACTTGATAATTCCATAAAGTTTACTAGAATTCTAGTGTATAATACTGTACATTTTTCTCCGTGCGGACAAAGTCTCTTAAATTTTTAGCACGGAATAGCCATGTACAGATTTTTCGGAGATTTCTGTTTAGCAAAAATTTGATAGAACGTCGTCTACACGGAGAAAAATAATTTAGAGATAAATATCTTCCAAGACTAGTAAAAATATTCTGGCTATTTTTACCGAATTTGTGATAAATTTTATTTGCCTAAAAATAAAAATATCGAAGATTTAATATAAAAAGTACATTATGATTACAGTACATCATTTCAAGTGATTATTATCTTATAGTAAGATAAATTATACTTACGGTAAAATAAATCGTACTATTTTCAAGATTGACGAGCACAAACAACTCTCAGAACTTTTATACTTTACTATGCAGTAAAGTATATTTTGTCAATGCTAAAGAAAAAATTGTTGTCAATAAAGTAAGAATGATTATCATACGACAATCTCATTTACCAGAAATGTAAAGAAAATTTTACACAAGTAGGCACGTATCTCTATATGAACTTGATAATTCCATAAAGTTTACTAGAATTCTAGTGTATAATACTGTACATTTTTCTCCGTGCGGACAAAGTCTCTTAAATTCACCGAAACGTCCTGATTCGGCGAAAACCATGTCATATATCGTCATGTGTGATTATCGAAAATCTTTGAAAGAAAAAAAAGACGTTAACGACTGAATCTCAGGATGGGGAAGGGTGGAGAGAAAGTGAAGAGTCGGTTGCTACGTCAATGGTCAACCTTAAAGCCAGCGCCTTTCATTCTTTACAGAATATTCAGTGGAGACGCGAAACAATTAAAGAGGAGACGACGAGTGTTCGCCTAAAAAGAGAATTTTCGGAGGAGGATGCTCGGCAGTTGGGGCTGGGAAGAAAAATTGGAGTTGGGAGAGGGTACAACAACCCCGACGCGAGAGAGACAAAGACGAGAGAGCCCAGACTCGACGCATCCTGTCCCCGACAGTCGGGTGCTGAGGTATGCACCTAGCCGGTGTCACCACCCTCCCAGCTACAGCTCGCCTTTCAACACGCAGCCTTCTCTCTATTGTACGGACTGTGAGTATACATTGTTAGGTTTATCGCGTAACGCACGTGCTATCCCGACGACACGAATATGTACGACGAAATACTACGCGAGTCCGATAACACTACTGGCTTTGGTAATCGACAGTAATCATTTTCGATCACTTTCTATTGTTTGAATTATCTTTTGGTAGGAGAGGGAGCCGAAAAGTTTTTTTTGGTATATTCAAAGATAAGTTGATCGTAAAATTACGCATTATTTCTATGTACACCACATGCTGAACTTCATAGATTCAGTCAAATACACACTTGAGGGACACATAAAATTTTATTACAAAAAGTACTTACACGATATCGTTTTCAACAAATGTTTTTCAAGATAATGTCAGGTATTGTCGAATATTATCATAAAATTAAAATTAAAGTTTATTAATAAAATTGCAAATTATAAATATTGTAACTGTAGCATATGCATATGTTTTTTTTTACAAATAATGTTATTTTTCAGGATGTATACACAGTGTCCCAAAATTTGCGACAAAATATTATAGCAATAAAGTTCTTGAAAAATAAAGTGAAAAAATTATTTGTAATTGTTATTTTAGACAAAAATTTTTAAGATAATAAAGATTTATAAATAATAGCTAGTTACATACAACGTAGATGGCTATCTATGAGTGTGATAGTATTAGTGAGCGATGATAAGTGCGCTTTCATTAATATTCACAGGTAGCCATCTAGTCTGTAATTGGCTATAAATCCTTAGATCTTAGAAACTTAATCTCAGATTGTTTAAAGTAAAATATACAAATAACTTTTTACTTAATTTATCGAAAACTTTCTTTCTATAGTATCTTAATCTCGAATTTTGAGACGTTCCGTATATGTTGCCTCTTTTGTAATTAAAGAACTATTACATGTATGTATTCTTAAGAATATAATGCCAGCGATTTGAAATTATCAACGGATCTCACGAAATTCTTGTCTTGTGTCTAATTTTAGGGTTTTAAATAAATCTGTAGTCTGATAGTTAAAAATGTCGGAATAAGGACGCGAACACACTTGCGAAATTTAAGTCGAGGTCGAATCTGATTATTTTTGTCTAGTTCGATTCCTGTTTGAGTAATCGATAATTTCAGCCAATTTGAATGTTTGCGGTTATCCTCAATATTATCACAAATAAAAGTGCGACATTTTGTCTATAAAAAAAGTTTATAGATGTAAGAAAAGAACCATTTAAAATATATGCTTTTATTTTATTTTGTTTGTTTTTTTTATTTCATATAATACACACTATTTTTTTTATTATTATTGTAGTTTTATTTTCTCTAATATTACCATTAAACATTTGAATTCACATTTGCGATATTACTTTCAAGAACAAATTTCTCTTTATTTAACTGAAGGCTTATTTATTGATAATGAACGATATTAACAACAGTTAATTTAAATCTTCAGAGCAGCGTGAGATGGTCAAGATGCTGACTGCTCATCCTGAGATGCACGAGAAGCGGGATGGCCTCGGCAGCGGGCAAT